CCCAGGGCCTTGGGATCCCCACCAACCCCCCCCCCCTCCCCCCACCGCAACTAACAGTATGACTCCCTGCTAATTTCAAAGGCTTGCGGCTCGTGGTTTACTTGAGTTATGAACATTTGCACCCTGAGTACAATGTACCTCTGGACTGTGACAAGAGCCTGTGTTGTTTTGAGGCACTTGAATCAAGAGCAAGCTAAGCGCAGCCGTGATAATTATGGGTACAATGTAGCAATACAGTCAAGTCAACTGTGGCAAAACTACATTCAGTGATTTACAATGATTTGTATTTTTAACAAACAGAATAAAACCAATTTGTTACACTGCATTTGTGTCTCAATAATACTAATTAAAATAAATAAAAACTACTGCACCAAAAAATCAATAAAAAAGCTTGTTTCAACTAAATGTGTCAATGGTGATTGCACCAAAAAGCTTGGTACAGTCATGTGATTACTTACAGTGGATTGTAGTCGACTGCAGTGTCTTCCCCAGTGTCCCAGTCAAACACATACTTTCTGTCAGCAAGACGACGAACCTTCTTTCTTTTTTTGGCTCCACCTAGGTATCGCTCCTGGAATGAAGCAGGACAGATAAAAATATTGTTACAGGCCCATTTACGCAGGTGACATTTTGTGCAATTTTAGGCATGATTTCTGCCAAGTTAGATTCTTAGTAACACTCGCACAGAAAAATCACTAATAAATCACATCAGATTTGTACAGACAATTTATACAAAATACTCCCTCCTAAAAAAATTGGACAAAAAACTGGTCCATGTACCTTTTAGATCAGCATAAAATTCTCAGATTTGCCCACCTCCCCACCCCTCCCCCTCCCCCACTAAACCAACAATGACACTACTATTTTTCCCTTGGGGCTAAATTTTGGGTTAGGGGAGGGATAGGTAGGTAGTTTCCAAGTTTCTCTAAGTAGACATTTTTATGAACTTACAAGACCTTTTGTCTTCCAATACTATCTTGAAAACCAAGGCTGTGCTCTAGCAATGCCAGCTTGACCCCTGGTGCCTAACATTTGCTCCTGGGTTCATGAATCTAGTGGTCTCAGCTTCCACGAGTATCCTGTAGCTCAGTGGTAGAGCCTCTGGACTAGTATAACCACAAGGTCATAGGTTCAACTCCTATTAGGCTGATTTAGACAGTACAATTTTTGCTCACAACTATCGTGCACGACGAGCATACTTCACGACTTTTGACCATCCACACGTGCACAATTTTCACTTATGACATCCCCAATGTGTCGTACGAATGAAGTGGGTCTAATTTACACAACACGATCTGTTGTGAAGTCATGACGCATGCTAGTCCTGCACGATAGTCATAGGCAAAAATCATACCTTCTAAATCGGCCTTTTAGAAAACTGGGATTTTTTTCTTCTGAGTCACTTGTGTCACTGACGGAAAAATCATCTTTCTCATAGAAAATCCTAGTTGTTTCATAGAAATCATGCACTGACACTCTTCCATTCCATACCATCTGAATGAGACTATTTTTATGACTTTTATACTAGATAAAGATTTTACCTTCTTTAGACAATTTTATTACTGGCATACAATTATATAAACACTGTCTCGTTCACACACAAATTTTATTAGATGATGATACATCACCTTGATAGCTTGCACCTCTTTATTTTGCTCTTTCTCCTACAAGAATAAAGAGAACTACACTGTGCATGTTTTCTAAAAAAATGTACAGTAAACCACCTAAACCCTTATTAAAATAAAAAATGATTAAGACTTGGAGGAGTCAGAATGACCAAGTTGTGTGGTGCTGGATTCAAACTTGATCACATCAGGTTCAAATCACGCTCTCACCACTAGGAACAGTTGTTCACAGCATTGGCAAGTTCAACTCCTCAGCCATGCCTTCTTGAAGATAGTCAACTGACTTGACTACAAACAGTTGGGATTCTTAAATTTATGTGCTATGTTATGAGGTTGTTTTTCTTTATTTCCAGGCCAAAATGTTAATCTAAGCTTCCATTGTATTTGTTTCATTGCGGCTTGCTTTATATTCTTGTGTAAATACACTCATCTGTAAAATCTTTTACAATAGCTGTGATTAATTATTTACATAACCCCTCCTGAGTTTTTGGTAAAATCTATAATAATCCTAGTACCTTTCGCAGCCTTTCTAATTTTCACTCTCGGCCTAAAAAAAGAGCTTTTGAACAAAGTAAATAAATAAAAACTTGTAAGAATTATTCTTCACTTTTGCAAATAATCACTCACCATTAACTGTGCACTAATGAGTAAATTAATATCACATGTTCTTCCCCCCAATTATAAATGTTCATTAACTAGACCCTTGTAGTGACTGAACCAGGATAAGATCATGGGATCCAAACCCCCCCTTTAAATTAACCCCTCAGACCAGAAAAAAATGTAATTGAATAACTAACAGCTTTTAAACTAAAAATAATTAATTATTACCAATAAATGATCAAATTTATGGATCTAAGTAGTTGAAGTTACTAGAAAATAACTATCATGAAGGGTGCAAAGAATTAGCTGTAAAATAGTTTTGATGGTGAGGTCAACTTTGGACCACTATGGAAAAAAAAATCATGATCCACCCTTGCCCTTAGCAGGCAAAGACACTACCAGTCTTCTTCAGTTTGGTTCTTTTCTCTTCTTTCCTGCCTTTCTCTTCTTTCCCTTTCCACTTCGTCCTCTTTAGAAAATGAAAAAAATATATATATATATTTTAAAGTTTATGTAAATAATTAAATTTTGTGTACTTTTGCCGATTACTAATGCCCTCAATCGCTGTATTTTAAAGTAAGTAAAGAAATCACAGGTAAATGACAAAATCAGAGATCCGAGACAAACAAATACGCCTGTATGTCTCCTGAGCATTATTTTTGAAGTTGCAAGCAGCAGGGATCAACTTTGAAAAACTGTTAGGCTGAACAGTTTTCAAAAACCCTAATTTCAATCCATTTCAGTCTTCTTCAGNTTTTAGTAAAGAAACGCACCCTTAGATTCTTTGACGAGGACGACTACAAGTACAAGATTTTCTCAACACTGAGTATTGCTCATGCGTAAACCAGTGTCATTTTGGCGGGAAAACGTGATAACCGTCGTCATTCTACAACGGGTTTTAGCGAGAATGATCAGCGAGAATGTCGTAGTGGCGGGAATAAGTTATCAAATGTAAGAAGTTTTATCATTTTGCGATCGGGAGAGGGCTTGACTTCCTTCAGTATAAATAACCGTACTGACTTTTTTGGTGAAAAAAGTACAATGAAGCTTTCCGTGGTATCTCTTTCTTTGAGAACACGCGCAAAAACTTTAAGTTAAATCTCGCACTCGTCCTCAGATCTCAAGCTCTCTAATATTAGAAGTTTTATGCCACTGAGGTTCATCAGAAAGAAGCAGTTTGGACAGTTTTTACCTTCTCATTTCCAAATTTGAGAAATTGTCAACTTAAATCTGACTTTTACCGTTTCCCGTAAACGTTATTCTAAATCTCTACAATAATTACAGCGAACGCTCTCTTGAACGGATACCCTCGAGAAGCAGAAATAGTATCCACAACTGGAGCATGGTTTGAACAGAGTTTTGGATGGCGGACAATTCGAGGCTTTTCCAGAACTTTTTCTAAAACAATACAATACTTTCTTTTTCCACACTCAAAGTTTTCTAACAGGCAAACGATGGAAACCTCGATTGACATACATGTACGCTGGAACCAGGCTTTCCAACAATGCACGGCAAACGTACATCAATCACAGTGCAATGCGGACATAAGACATAATTTGTCCCGTTCGGGACCATATTTTATGTCTTCTAAGATTGAACTAATTTCAAATGCAATTCGCGTCAGTGTTAGAAGTTTTTTTGTTAATTATTGACAAGATAGATACTTACGCCTCTTGGGTCTTTTCCTCAACAGTTCGTCTTGTCTCCAACATTTCCTGATAAAACTTTCCTGTCTCCTTCTTTTGCCACTGGGAAGAAAAAAAATTCATTTTTCAAGGATGTTTACTTTTAAACCTGTCACCTCACTACATACTAACATTCTAATGCACAGCCTCGCCTCGCAAGGACAGCCACAGAAGGGCCAGAGTGGCTGTTGTAGAGGGGTTAACCACTCAATCCAAATAAAGGCCAAAGAAAAAATACATCACTAGAAAATTCATATTTTCTTTGGAGACTGAGCCGTGTCCATTGAGACGTAGGAAGTTTAAACCTTTCCTGGCATCATATTAGGCAGCTTTAGCGACAACAACGGCCGCGGCAACGAGAACGGCAAAAAGCAATAGGTTTATTAAGCAAAACAACAACTCTGCACGTGCATCACGCTTATTTGTACCGTTTTTGCCGTTGTTGCACGACTACGACGTGAAACTTGCTAATTTGACGTTTTATGAAGGAAGTGCGAACAAGAGAAACGATGGCTCCTCGTGTGCTTATCTAGTGTGAACACCTATCCGATATGTGACCCTCCACAGATCAGTGCGGCGCCGCGCAGCTTCGCTCCGTTACAGAACTCGCGCTGGAATCACCGCCCTTATGTGCGAACAGAAGTCCTGTCCGATATGGTTTTCGAGTCGGCGCAAAAGCTATCTGTACTAGTGTGAACATAGCCTTAATTTTTCTTTTTCTGAACTTACTTACAGTCATTTAGAATTCAACTACTGAAAAATTCGCCAATATTGGACAACGAGATGGAATAAATTCCGAGAGGTTTGAAGCATCGCGAATTCTCTTTTTGTGTGACGTTTGCGCTTCCCTCGCCGTCGTAGATGCTAGAGCTCCCTGATGAGGGACTGTGGTTAGGAACTTGAATAATAGATCCAAGAAGAGGACGACTTCGAGGACGAGATTTTCTAGTAGTGCTCGCGCGTGAGCCAACGTCATTTTGGCGGGAAAACGCGATAGCCGTCGTGATTCTACTACAAGTTTTAGCGGGAACGGAAACAAGTTAGTATCAAGACGCTCATGAGAGAACTTTAAAACCTTCTTCAATAAAAATAACTGTGCTAACTTTTCTGGTGGAAAAAAAGTACAATGAAGCCTTCCGGGGTTGGATTTTTTAAGAATACGCGAAAAAATCAAACTTAAATCCCCTCCTCGGCCTCCACTTTAGGTCTCTATTGTGATGGCTGATACAAAAAAGATCGATGTGAAAAGGAGTAGTTTGAGGAGTCTCGGCTGAGGCAGAAGGATGCTGATAATGACGATGAAGAAGTGTGTACATGTACACCTCAGGGGCGGATTTAGAGGGAGGGTGGAGGGGTTCGCGCACCCCCGTTCCCCTCTAAGATGACCTCGGATCATAATACGTTTCTGGGAACCAGATTGTTCAGAGAAGTGTTCAAAGTCATGGATGAGTAAGCAGGCAACAGATGCAGGGGCGGATCCAGGATTTTTCTTAGGAGGGGGTACACCGCTAAGGAATGGCATAACTGACTGGTGACGTAAATACATTTTAAAAGCGAATACCAAGAAGAAGGCTTTTGCAGGCTTTTGACTAGGCAATAACATAATGTAAACTGCTGAGAATACATATCAAACGATACAGCAGAATTCAGACAAACTACCATTTTTTAATACGGTGTTTAACGTAAATTCTCCAACCTCGTCTCGTGTTTTACTTCAGAACCAATAAACCACCAATTTTTCTTTTTTGGCAAAATACCAGTTGAATTAGAGATCATTATACGATTCTGGGAAACTGTCCACCTACCCGTCCCCTAAGCCAATCTTTTTCCCTAAGTGAGAAGTAAGTGTTAATGTTGGCTTATGGGAGGGGTAGGTGCGCAGTTTCCCAGAAACGTATTATGACCAACAACAACAATCTTATTCTGTGGTCTCGACTGTGGTTAGATACCCAGCTGTTTTTTAATGTTTACCTTGATATCAATTCCACCAATATGTCCTCTTCCAAAGAGCTGAATTTGATGCTTTTCTGTATAACTAAGCAAGACAAGTACTTGTAAGTAAAAAGGAGAGTTGCACAGACTGAATGTATGTTTCTTGATCAAGAAGCATATCAGCACTTAACTCCAGTAGGCTGGTTATTTGAACAAAGTCTTGTTTATTTTTACTTTTTTTAGAGACTCGAGAAGCCTCCAAATCTGTTTGTAAGTGTCTATTTCAGTAATATAAGTGGATGGATATGTTCTGTAAGCCTTCTCGATGCTGTTAGAGCGATCTTCGTATGACCTTGAAAAATGGTTTCGGTACAAATGTAAGTGTTCGTTAATTGTTTTATCAGCCAGTGGATGAAAACATCAAAACATGGCCTCTTCGTTTTCCCGCCAAAGAAAACCCTTATATATAGAAGGCATTGTTCGATTGGCCAATCGTGTTGCAGTATGACGTCAAAGCGAAGTATCGATTGATTTCTATAAAGTTCTAGGGCACGAAGTATTTTCACCCGAACGTTCGTTTAACTAAAGAAAAGACACGCGCGTTTGTATCCGTTCGAAAAACCAATCAAATCGCTCTATTTCCGTTCGTTTGTTGTTTCTGTTTTGTTCGCGCGTTTTCATTTCAAGGTCATACGAAAATCGCTCTAACAACAACCTATGTTTAGATGTGAAATCTGTTTTAATAACTGGCATTAATCATGGATGTCAGTGACGCCCAGGGGCTTGGGATTTCCCCCGCAACTAAGAATATGACCCCCTGCTACTTTCAAAGGCCTGCGGCTCGTGGTTCACTTGAGTTATCAACATTTTGAAGTCATTTCTATGGTCTATTTGATTTCTTAAAATAAAGAAGAAAAGAACTTGCTACCTGTTCAGTTCCTGACCTCCTAATTGTATATACCTCGCAACATTGAAATCTTAGCCCAAACAAGAGTTGTATGATAAAAAAAAATAATAATAATAAAAAAAACAGCCAAAATTTTAACAGTGTCCCAGTCAAACACAAACTTTCTGTCAGCAAGGCGACGAACCTTCTTCCTTTTTTTGGCTCCACCTAGGTATCGCTCCTGGAATGAAGCAGGACCAATAAACATTGTTAAAGGCCCATTTACGCAGGTGACATTTTGTGCAATTTTAGGCATGATTTCTGCCAAGGTAGATTGACACTACTATTTTTCCCTTGGGGCTAAATTTTGGGTTAGGGGAGGGGTAGGCGGGTAGTTTCCCAGTTTCTCTAAGTAGACATTTGTATGAACTTACAAGACCTTTTGCCTTTCAACACTAACTGGTGCCTAACATTTGCTCCTGGGTTCATGAATCTAGTGGCCTTAGCTTCCATGAGTCTCCCATAGCTCTGTGGTAGAGCCTCCGGACTAGTAACCAGGAGGTCATAGGTTCAACTCCTATTAGGCTGATTTAGACAGTACGATTTTTGCTTATGAAACCATGCACGACTAGCAAAACTCATGACTTTTGACCATCCACATGTGCACAGTTTTCGCTTACAACATTCACAATGTGTCATATGAATGTCATGGGTCTAATTTTCACAACACGATCTGTTGTGAAGTCATGACGCATGCTAGTCCTGCACGATAGTCGTAAGCAAAAATTGTACCGTCTAAATCGGCCTTTTGGAAAACTGGGATTTTTTTCTTCTGAGTCACCTCTATTACCGACGGAAAAATCACCTCTCCCATAGAAAATCCTAGTTGTTTCATAGAAATCATGCTTTGCCCCTTTTCCATTCCATACCATCTGAATCACTGCATCAGCCTATTTTTTTGACTTGTATACTAGATAAGGATTTTACCTTCTTTTGACAATTTATTACTGGCATACATTACATGTATAAACACTGTCTCGTTCATACACAAATCTTATTTAGATGATGATACATTACCTTGATAGCTTGCACCTCTTTATCTTGCTCTTTCTCCTACAAAAATAAAGAGAACTACACTACTGTGCATGTTTACTAAATATGTACAGTACACCACCTAAACCCTTATTAAAATAAAAAATGATTAAGACTTGGAGGAGTCAGAATGACCAAGTTGTGTGGCCAGTGCTGGATTCAAACTTAATCACATCAGGTTCAAATCACGCTCTCACAACTAGGAACAGTTGTTCACAGTAGTAGCAAGTTCAATTCCTCATGCCATGCCTGCTTGAAGATAGTCAACTGGCATGACTCCATTGGGATTCTTAAATGTATGTGCTATGTTAAAATAAGATTATTATTTTTTTCCTTATTTGCAGGCCAAAATGTTAATCTAAGCCTCCACTTGTATTTGTTTCACTGGGGCTTGCTATATATTCTTGTGTAAATACACTCATCTGTAAAATCTTTTGCAATAGCTGTAATAATTTTTATAATTTTACATAACCCCTCCTGAGTTTTTGGTAAAATCTATCATCCTAGTACCTTTCGCAGCCTTTCTTTTTCACTCTCAGCCTAAAAAAAGAGTTTTTGAACAGAGTAAATAAATAAGGAAGAATTATTCTTCACTTTTGCAAATAATCACTCACCATTAACTGTGCACTAATGAGTAAATTAATATCACATGTTCTTCCCCCCAATTATAAATGTTCATTAACTAGACCCTTGTAGTGACTGAACCAGGATAAGATCATGGGATCCAAACCCTCCTTAAATTCACCCCTCAGACCAGAAAAAAATGTAATTAAATAACTAACAGCTTTTACACTAAAAACAATGATTATTTTTATTTTTATTAATTATTACCAATAAAGGATCAAATTTATGGATCTAAGTAGTTGAAGTTTACTAGAAAATAACTATCATGAAGGGTGGAAATAATTAGCTGTAAAATAGTTTTGATGGTGAGGTCGACTTTGGACCACTATGGAAAAAAAAAATCATGATCCACCCTTGCCCTTAGCAGGCAAAGACACTACCTCTTCTTCAGTTTGGTTCTTTTCTCTTCTTTCCCACCTTTCTCTTCTTTCCCTTTTCACTTCTTCCTCTTTAGAAATGAAAAATATATATATATATATTTTTAAGTTTATCTAAATAATGAAATTTTGTTTACTTTTGCCAGCTACTTGCCCTCAATCGCTGTATTTTAAAGTAAGTAAAGAAATTACAGGTAAATGACAAAATCAGAGATCCGAGACAAACAAATACGCCTGTATGTCTCCTGAGCATTATTTTTGAAGTTGCAAGCAGCAGGGATCAACTTTGAAAAACTGTTAAGCTGAACAGTTTTCAAAAACCCTAATTTCAATCCATTTCAGTCTTCTTCAGTTTTGCCCATCTGTGGCATCTGTTGTTTCTGTTATGTTATCTGAACCTTCGTTCCTTTCAAGTTTTAAGCGGTTATTTTTATGTTTCTCTTAATTTAACAGGCATTTTGTGATTTCCTAATTTGGCTGAATTTCGTGACACAGCTCCTTTAAACAAGATAATAATTAATACAGCAAACCGTACTAAGAAGTAAAGCCATCGTCCTCATTCTTCTTCTTGGGAGATATCATGTAATTACTTACTCCCACTAATTAGTTGGAGCGTTTTCATGCATGTCCCTCTTCAAGGGTAAGTTATTAAAATTCTATCATTGAGATAGAATGACAAGTAGCACATTGCTGTAATTATTTGAAACAAATGGAAACTTTTCCTTATTTAACTTTGTTGGCTTGCACCTGTTACCCTATTAACTCGCTAATTACATTGTTAGCTACACATGTAAGTCCCCCTTACAGTAAAACTATCCACCCGTTCCTCTTTTCCTTTCCTAGAGAAACTATGAAAGTTAAGCAAAGTCAGGCCTAAATTAAACCTCAGTTATTTCATGTTACTGTCAGTTTCATTCGTTGTATATGTAGTAATGTAAAAATAATCTGCATTTTCTTTTCATCTTTGTTTTCATTAATAATTATGTGTACTTTTCTGTGCTGTGATATTTAAAGCATTAAAACAGTGTGAAATGATTTGGGTTCTCTTAATTAAAAAGGTTTTTCTAATACTTACCTCTTGAATATTATGCCTCTCTTAAAAACTTCTCTCTCATTTGACGCTCCTCCTGTTTGTTTTGAAATGAAAAGCCGCAAAAAAATTTTTCAGTTTTCGAAAGTTATCCAAACTAGTTGGTACAGTGGAAGCCCGCTAATATGGTCACCGATGGGCCAAAAAAAATGGCAGTAATAATGAGGTGTCCATATTAACAAGGATTTCTTTACAAGAAAATGTATGGTCATTTTTGCTGGGTAGCCAAAAAAAGTGGTCATAATAATGAGGTGTCCATATTACCGAGGTGGCCGTAAGGTGGGATTCCACTGCAGTATTGTTTGTTCTGATTGGTCAAGTGGAAGGTGAAAAACATAATTATAATAACTTACAAAGAAAATAACTAATTATTTTATCTGCCTCCCAGCTTGCCATTTAGGCAAAGCTCAAAAGGAACCATCTGAGAGTTGATGTAGATGGTATGAAATTTTTAATTTTTCTGCTCAAATTAAGAAATAAGCTATAAACAGGAACTGTCCAAAACAGTTATGTTATATTCTTAGGGATGGAACTGGCATGAAATTTCTCATATTTAAGTAGATATGATAAACAGTAAGCTTTTTAGTGAAGATAAGACTTAAGCACAAGGTACACGTACAAATAAAATTGGATTCACCATTTGCCGTGAATGTAATTTCTTAATCTCACTATCTATCCATTGAATGAGCAACCATCTCTATAAACTGTCTCTTGGTCAAGAGTAGCCTTGCCACTTGAGTTGGCACGACTGGGCTCAACAATGCCATCGGCCATTTCCTCTACTGTAAAAAGTGTCGAAAACACTATCTCCACCAGGAGACAGTGACACCAAGTCAGTGCCATTACACGTCTAATGGAAAGAAAATCAAAGACAGTTTCTCATCAATAATGAAGAACTAAAAACAATTTCTTAAACATCAATATCAATATTGCAGCAACACATTACTATTAACATTTAAAACCAATGTTACAGTCACTGCAACAACTGTATTAAACCTGGGCCCATAGACAAAGTTGACTAATCGGATTACAGGAAAACCATAATACATTT